TCCAGAATGCCAGGGGGCTTTCGACGAGCTCAAACGATATCTATCTTCACCTCCTGTGCTCTCCGAACCCAAGGTAGGGGAGACCCTCTACCTCTACCTTGGGGTTAGCCCGGCGGCCGTCAGCTCTGTGCTCATCCGGGAGGAAGACGACATCCAACATGCCATCTTCTACGTTAGCAAGACCCTAAGGGAGGCCGAGCTCAGGTACTCCCCTGTGGAAAAAACGGTGTTAGCCATCGTTTGGACTGTCACAAAGTTGGGCCATTACTTTCAGGCTCACCCGGTTCAGGTCCTCACTCATCAACCCCTCGGCGCCCTCATGAGGAGCCCCACCAGCTCCTCCCGCATGGTGAAATGGGCTATCTTCTTGAGCCAGTACAACATTGACATCCGCCCAAGGCCTACCATCAAGGGTCAAGCCCTGGCGGACTTTGTGACAGAGTGTACCGCAAGGGCAGCCACGGACGGGGAGCCCTCGGCTACCTCAGACGACTGGTGGACCCTCTACATTGACGGCTCCTCCGCGACCAAAGCATGCGAGGGAGGGGTAGTCCTCATTACTCCCGAGGGCTTCAGGGCCTACTATGCAATCCGCTTCTCCTTCAAGGTCTCCAACAATGAGGCCGAATATGAGGCCCTCCTATGTGGCCTTCGGCTGGCTGCCAACATGAGGGCTCGGCAGATCCACATCAAATGCGACTCCAAGTTGGTCGTTGGCCAAATCTACGAAGAATATGAGGCCAAGGAGGGGAGAATGAAACAGTACAAGGAAGCGGCCAAGGAGTTGCTTAAGGTATTTGAGGCACACTCTCTCACTCAAATACCGAGGGCTCAGAACTCCGAGGCCGACATATTATCTAAGCTCTCGGCAGACTCCCCCGAGCACATCTCCAAAATTGCCAAAATCGAGGAACTCAGCCTCTCAAGCATCCATGCAAGCCCCGTTATGAACATACAACAACGTCAGGAGGATTGGATCTCAGATATCACCGCCTTCATCTCCACAGGGCAGCTACCCGAGAATGAGGCCCGCGCTAAACTGGCAAAGCTGAGGGCTCCGAGCTACACCATCGAAGATGGAAGGCTCTACAAACGATCTTACAATGGCACGCTACTTCGGTGCCTTCATCCAGATGAAGCCGAGGTCGCAATGGAGGAAGTGCACAGTGGCACTTGCTCAGCTCACCAAGGACCCTTCTCCATGTCCCGAAGGCTCATTCTCTAGGGCTACTTCTGGCAAACCATGGCCAGGGATTGTGCTGACCTTGCCCGGAGGTGCACCGCATGTCAACATTTCCAGAAGGCTCCCGGCAGGCCAGCGGTCAACTATGCCCCCATCAGCACCTCTGTCCCCTTTTCTCGATGGGGAATAGACCTTGTGGGCCCTCTGCCGAGGGGCACCTCCAACAACAGATACATCATCGTGGCCGTCGACTACTTTACCAAGTGGGTGGAAGCTGAACCCCTCGCCAGCATCACAGAGGCGAAGTGCCGTCACTTCGTCCTCAAGAACATCCTCACAAGGTTTGGCGTCCCCCAGCAGATCATCTCCGACAATGGGACACAATTTGAGGCAGCCCCCTTCTGTGCCCTTCTGGAGGCATGGGGCATCAAACACACCTTCTCCTCCGTTGCCTACCCTCAAGGCAACGGGCAAGTAGAGAATGCCAACCGGACCTTGCTCGAGGGCCTCAAAAAGAAGCTAGAGGCCGAGGGCGGTGGCTGGGTGGAAGAACTCCACAACATCCTTTGGGCCTATCGCACCACCCCTCGGCGAGCAACAGGTGAAACACCCTTCTCCCTCTGCTACGGTTTTGAAGCCAAAGCTCCTACGGAAGTCACCCTTCCCACCCGAAGGGTAATCCAATATGACCCCGAGGTCAACGACAGCAACATGGCCCTCGACCTCCACCTCATTTCAGAACGCCGGGAGCAGGCCTTCATCCGGGCAGAAAACTACCGAAGGCAAGTTAAAAGATACATCGACGCCAAAGTTCGCACCCGAGAATTTCAAGTGGGGGACTATGTCCTCCGGAGGAGGGAAGCCAGCCAACCAACCGAGGGAGGAAAAATGGCACCAAAATTCGAAGGCCCCTACATCATAGCAGCCATCATCAAACCTGGGACCTACAAGCTCAAACGCCCCAACGGGAAAGAAGTCCCTAGGCACTGGAATGTACACCATTTAGTTAAATTTTATCAATAATGTAAGAGCGGCCAAGCCCTCATAACTAGTGAATGTACTATCCTATGGCCCAAGGCCTCCAATTTCGAAGAATGAAGATACATTCAAGACATCAAGCCCTCATACTGACTACAGGCACCAGGCCTCACCACGAGAAGAACCCCCTCCGGCACCAAGTGCCGAGGGCGGACACCATCAACACCTACAACAAACAGTGAAAACACCACGTGTTTTCAGTCAAGACCCCTCGGCACCCAGTGCCGAGGGAGGGAACTCCTATCACCAACAACAAGGAACGCCATGTGTTTCATTTCCCTTCGGCACCCAGTGCCGAGGGTACACTCCCACCTTCATTATAAAAAAAAATGAGAACACCAAGTGTTCCTACAGAAGACCCCTTCGGCACCCAGTGCCGAGGGTACATCTCCATCATCAAACATCGAAACGAAGAAAAAACACCAAAATGTTTCAAAGAAGACCCCTCAGCACCCAGTGCCAGGGATATGCTCTCCTATCAACTTCCAAACATCTGTTGGGAAACACCAAGTGTTTCATTTGAAGACCCTTCGGTACCAAGTACCGAGGGTAGACGCCTACATCAACTACGACAAAAGAGAACACCAAGTGTTCCTACAGAAGACCCCTCGGTACCAAGTACCGGGGGCTACACATCGAAACTAACACCAAGTGTTGTTTCTAAAAGCCGTACCCCACGAGGACGCATATACTGAAGGCGCCACCATCGGTGCCGGCGGCACGTAGTGCCCCCGGCCATTTGCAACTAGTGTGCAAATGAAAACCCTTCCTTGAAACGCTTTCCGCGTCACTACCCCCAGGGTATGACAGGCATGAGAAATGCCCAGGATTCGACTTTCAAAAACGGAACGCTATCCGCGTCACTACCCCCAGGGTATGACAGGCATGAGAAATGCCCAGGATTCGACTTCCAAACCGAAACGCTCCCCGCGCCACCACCCTAAGGGTGTGGCAGGCCACGGACTATGTCTAGCGCCGAGGGGACGACTTTCAAAAATGAGGCGCTTTCCGCGCCATCCCCCAAGGGGAGGCAGGTTACGGACCACCATATCTTGTGCCCAGGAAACGTCCCTCGATCCCCTCGGAACTCGGAAGGTTAACCCGAGGGAGGAGAGCCATTGGTGTATTCTGATGGTCTCCTAATAGGCCCAGCCTTACCAAGAAACCAAGTTTCTTGATGTCTTCCCTTCACCACCAACCAAAAAAAAAGAAGAGGGGGTGAAGGGGAGTAGACTCAGCGAGAAATCAAAGAGTACACTCCAACAGATCACAACAAGCCGAGGGCTCCCCACGGGAACACCTCCGGTAACTGAAGGCTCCTATTTCCCGAAGGATACTACTCAAACAAATATCATCAGGAAACGGCTAAGTCCACTACCTGCTCACCTCCGGTCACAAAAACACCGAAGGCTTCAACAATACAAAGGGACTGGACTATCCAAGGTCCACTAAACGGTACTTCAAACAAACACCGAAGGCATCTGTTATGCACAAATACCGAGGGCCCTTTCCCCATGACAAGGGTCAAATTCTACAACTTTTAAAGTGTATGCCGAGGGCACACACTCCTCATTGGCTTTCTTCACAACAACAGGATTCAACATCAATTTATGGTTAGAAAAAATTCTAAGTCCTGAAGGAGCAGCCCCCGGGCATCTCGCAAAGTAATGTAGAGTCAGAAGGCACCTATCACCCGAAGGCTACACAGGGAAAATCTACACTTAGAAGATTTTCTAAGTCCTACATATTTTCCCCCCCGGTCAACTACTCATACATCATGAAGGGATGCCATCTCCCGAAGGCTCCCAAGGGAAACTCTACACTTAGAAGATTTTCTAAGTCCTACATATTTCACCCTCATCTCAAGGGACCTAATTGCCGAAGGCTGCCTATCAATCGAAGGCTACAGTACACAAGGAATCAACACTGAAGAAAATTTTCTAAGTCCTGAAGAATTGGCCCCCGGCCTAATCAATATTTCAGTTGGGGCTCCACAGTAGCCGAAGGCTACGTGACATAATACACTTACAAAAATTTTCTAAGTCCTATACATTGGGCCCTCGGTCCAATATTTACACATCAGGAAGGGATGCCATATCCCGAAGGCTCACAAGGGAAAGTCTACACTTAGAAAATTTTTCTAAGTCCTAGGAATTGGGCTACCACAAACACCCGAAGGCCCCATACTGTGCTACACTTAGAAAAATTTTCTAAGTCCTAATTCCTGCTGAACCCTCGGTTGCATATCCAGCAGAGGGTGCCCGACTACCGAAGGCTCCCAAGGGCTAGCTACAATCAGATAATATTCTAAGTCCTAAAACATACATTCAAAGGAGCAAAGACATACATCCAAAACAAAAACGAAGGCATGCATTCAAGAAGAAAGGAATTGGAGAAAACAAATCATATAAACACAGCCCGAAGGCAATCATTCAATCATCAACAAACAGAAGGCAAATGTAATACGAATAAATGTTACAAGCAGGCCGAAGCCGAAGGATGAATAATGTCACCATTACAAATACATGTTTACATAATACAAAATACATATCAAATCATGTCATTCCCGGGGGCCGCCTCCCCCGATGGCTTCGAGGTGACTTCTGCGTCGGCCTCAGGTTCGTCGCCCTCGGCTTCCTTCATGAGCTCAGAGTCCTCCAGGTCTGGCCTCTCGACATCGGGGGGAAGAGGAACGTGGATGTCTGGCTGCAGGGGGGGAGCCCGTATGCTGCCGGGTCAAAGTCCTTTGGCTCGATCTTTAAGTGGCGAGCCATCCTCGGGTAGATGAGGGCTTGAGTGAAAAACTCGCCCCCATCATAGTATTGTTTACCCTTTCGGGAAACCCACTCCACGCCAGGCCCATCACACCACTCGTCGACCGAGGACTCGACGACCGAGGACAGCCATTGCTTGTGCTCCTCGGACCGCCACCCCCCTGCCAAGAACCCCGAGATTGCGTCCCCTCGGGCTCTCTCGACGGCTTCCACCTTCGCGGCCTCGGCTTCCTTGACAGCTATCTCCAAGGCCTCAGCTGCGGACCTCTCGGCTTCTGCCCTACCCCGATCTGCGGCCTCCGCCCGCAGGGTCATCTGCCGAAGGCTCTCCTCCAGCATAGCCATCTGTCGAACAACGTCTGCATTCTGGCGGATGAGCTCCCGCATCTTGGCCTCCTGCTCGGCCTTGCGAAGGCGCCACTCATCTAGCCGTCGGGCTTGCTCCCCGAGGGCAATGCAGGTCTACAAAAACAAAGGGGTTAGCAAGGCCAAACATGGTTTCTAAGCTCGAAGTAGAAGAGAAAGAAATAAAGATAAAAGACTTACTGTGAGGGAAGACCGGAGGATCCTGTCCTCGAGGGCTTCGTCTTCATCAGCCCCGAGGGCTACTCTGTCAATCTCGAGGGTGATGCCTCTCAGAAGTGCCCTCGGGTCGGCCGTACCGTTCATCACGGCCGTACCAGCCGGGAGGGAAACCATGAGGACCTCGGAAGATGGCCCCTGAACTCCCGGCGGCACTTTCGCCACCTGCATGTCGTCATCCGCCCCGGAGGCAGGGCCTTCATCAACAATGATCACCGGGGGGACTTTCTTCCCAGCATCCCCGGTCTTGGGCTTCTTGCCCTCGGGATCTCTGCCCGAGCCCTTCCTTTTGGCGGCAGCGGCAGCATCAGCACTTGGGCCCACCGATGGCCCCTCCGGTTTTTTGAAGAAGTCACCGACGGGTTTTGGGACACCGGCGTCCGTCCCCCTCGGGCCCTTGGAGGGTTTTTTCTTCTTCAGGTCTGCAAGGCCTCTGACGTTCATCATTTTCACTGGGACACCTGCAAAAAAAAAAGGTATGGGGTCAAAATCGAGGGGTTACTGACCGAAGGCACAAAAAAAAAACGAACAAAATAAGCTATGTGCTAAGATATGAAAACCGAGGGACCTCGTAGACTACCTCTTGTTCCCCCGAAGGCCTCAGCAAAAATGGGGTACTTCTCATCCGCTTCCCCAATAAATCGGTATCTCCGAAAGCCGAGGGCGTAGAATCCCTTGTCGGCAGTATAGTCCTTGATGGAGACCTGCTTTGTGCGACCCTCCGGGATTTTGGCTATCACCAGGCCATCTTTTTCGAGGGCGGCGCTTCCAACCTTCGGATGCCGACGGAAGCGATCCCGAAGTTCCGCCGGAAATGGGTTCTCAGCAACCCTGACATAGCACCAGCGCTCCTTCCAGCCCTTATTGGACGAAGGCGCCTCCGTAAACAGCTTCCACCTGGCCACCTGCTGCAGGTTGGTGAAGCCCTCGGCATTCGCGTGACCCCCTCGACAGAGGTTGAAGCTCTGGAAGAACAAGTCCAGGCTGGGGGTCACCCCTCGGTCCCTACAGAGGTTTAAAAAACCCGCCACGTAGGAGTGGCTATTAGGTGTCAGCTGGCAGGGTACCAAGCCAACAAACCTCAGGTACTCCTGGAGGAAGGGGTGCAGAGGGAACCGAAGGCCCATGGAGACCGACAGTACGTGTACTGCAATGCACCCCTCAGGCGCCCGAGAGAGCATATCGTCAACTCCCGGCTCGACCACCACGGCCGAGGGCCCTACATGTAGCTGCGTCACGTAGAGGTCCGCCCTGTCTGCCTTAGACTTTATCTCTAAGGCAGCCGTGTTGAGCCAGGAATACCCCTCCGGCATATCTACGGGTTTCCCCTGATCAGCAGCAATGACCTTCTTCTTGGGGGCAGCTGCCTTGGCCTTCTTCTTCCTGGGGGCCACCCGGATGGGAACTGCATTCAGCGGCTGGGAAGTACTGGCCTCACCAGTACCCCGAGGGGGAAGGACTGCCACAATGACCTTCGCCCTCTCCTTTTCCTCCTCCTCTTAAGCAACTTGGACGGCGAGGGCCAACTCTTCATCCTCGGCAGTTTGCTCGAATTCCTCCGCCTCAGCCTCCGCCATCAGATCCTTCTGCATCTCGGTGGCGAGGGCTGCATCACCACCATCCGAGGGCTGACCACTGCTGGACTCCACGTCGGAGATGCCTTCGTCCTCCATCGAGGACGTCCTCGAGATGTCCTGGGAATCGCTCGCGGACGACATTTTTATCACGAAGTGTGTCTAATGTTTCGAAGGCTTTCTACAGGACTAACCCTAATCTAAGGCCAGAGGGCGGGACTTACTAAAAGTTTGGAGAGGAAAACGGGCACTGACCTTGAAAGCAGAGTTTTGACCGAAGGCTGGAGTTTCTCTCTCTAGAATTTTCGGCAGAGCTTTGCTAAAACAAATGATCGCACAAGAGGGAATGGCCCTGGCCCTGGGGTATTTATAGGCGCTAGAATCCGGGCTTGGGCCCGGAAACCGGACCTCCGGAAGGACCGTCATCATTACACACCGTCGTTTCACCCAGTCGGTGACGCCGCCCACGAACAGCCAGCCATCACACGCCACGTGTGCCACCCCCCAATGGCTATATCCTGTCGTTACATATTCCAACGGCTATATTTCCAACGGCTATATTTCGGAAGCCCCCGGGTTTTCTACTTCACTCCACTTCATCAAGGGTAGCCCCCGGGTACACTCACTCAGAAGTGTGCCCAGGTTGTGCCCCAAACAACACATAACAGACGCCTTCGGGATCACTCCTTCAGAAACCCAGGGCTTCATATCAGGGCACCCCTCGGGGATTCCCCCTCAGCACTGCAAAGCCGGGTAGCCCCTGGGGAGTTGCCTCATTGACGGATGACCCATGGCACATAGGTAATGGGAGCCCTCAGGTATCTTCATCACCAACTAATCAACAAACAGTGGACCCCCCCGGTAACAACTTCACTGCTGCCCTCATCTGGCAGGCCCTCGATCCCTGGATTGAGGGGCTCCCCTTCGGCGCCACCAGGACATCAACAGCAAGCCTTCGGCTAATCAACACAGGAGCCCTCAGAAGAGAGAGCCTTCGGCATTCCCGTCATTCACCATTTTTTACCAAGGTTTGACATTTTCGATTCATCATTGGGGGAATTCGGTGCACTCTTTTTCCCTCATTAGGATTTTTTCCCAAAGGGTTTTTCCTAATGAGGTTTTTAACGAGGCATCCCCCCAAAATGAAACGAAAAGCGTCAGCCTTCGGCCCACAACAGCAATGCAACTACTTTACTCCTTTTCACCACTTTACAAGTGCCTCAAGGAGTGGGGGACTGGAGGACCCCCTCGGGAAAATCATTAAATTACAAAATCCGTGAAATTCCAACAAACAACAAAGCAAGCCCTCAAGTCCCGACATGTGGGTAACTGAGGGACTGCCTTCGGCAGGGACATAAAAGCAACAACTCCTCACCAACTTCAGAGACCACGACGGGACAACATCAAAGGGCAAGCACAAATTACTCCTTTTCCCTCGAGTACCTTTCGGCAAAAGGAGTGAGGGACTCCTGATGGAGTATATGGCCCGGGAACCCCCGGCCCACAGACTCCTACTGCTCCATCGAAGGCCCAACAGGCCCGACAGGCCCAAATCACAGCGCCCAGAGTACCAAGCAGTCCGCACAACGCGCCAGGGGTGCCTTCGGCCCACCGGCCGAAAGCTCCAAATTCTCACAGAACGGGTTTCTCAAGCAAATTAAGAAACTGGGAGAAAACGGCGAAAATAGTAGCCCTCGGCACTGTGAGCCCTCGGCACCAGGGTGCCATCGGGTGGAAAAGCCCTCGGCTATTGCTCTATAGCCGAAGGCATCTCACTCGACAAGATATCCGCCTCACATGCGTACAGATCACCGTACCCCGCACAGACGTCCCATCCAACAGCCGCATTAAATGCGGCCACATGCGGCTGCCAGCGCCAACCAGTTGAGGTGACCCCTCGGCCAATAAGCGCTTGACACGTGTCCCTGCCCGGCATTTATTGCTACTATAAATAGCACCCCATTTCCTCATTTGTAACCACGCTGAAAACGGCATTCATACTGAATACACTCTCTCTCTACTTTTACTTACTTGCTCTGACTTCTCTCTAAGTTATTCCCCGTAATAACCCTTCGGATATATACCCCCGGGTAGACCATCCATCAAAAGTTAACTGTATTCAAATCTATAACAAAGATTACATGGGACTAGGGTTTGGCGAGAAAATGTATTTTCGAAGTGATGAAGACTATGCTGAAGCAGAAGAAGAAAAGAGAAAGAATCCAAAACCTGCGATTTCTTGTGATTATCCCTCTGTAAATGAAAAACAACTTTCAGAAGAAAAACCTACTTCCTGCTTTAGTGAATGCCTTGACCCTTATGCCAAAGATATTCCTCACATAGGACACCCTCTAGACCCTCCCCCAAGAGTAGGTATTGCTAAAACTGGTGAGGAACCGTGTATATTTCCCATGGCTCAAAAGCTCAAAAACCTACAGAAAACTCTTGATAACGAGAGAGAGAGATTTGAAACTGAAAAGAAAGGTTTTGAGCGCAACTGGCAGGAACTTCTTCGAAAGTTCAATGATTTGAGTGAGCAGTTTCATGCTAAAACAGACCCTTCTACGACTAAGCCTGACAGCTCACACACCTCACATGAGAAAAACAATGCTTTTAAAGGTTCGTCCACTCATCTCTCTTCTCCTTTGTTTACAGGGAATGAAGTGAATAAGGAAGGAGAAGAGAAGAATGAGTGGAGGAAAAAGAGGAAGGAAATCGCAGATGGCAAAAAGAAAGTTTTTGAGAACAATGCCAGCCCTAGATCTAGTTCTATTTTTTACTCCAAAGTTAATTGTAATTCTGTCTCTACAAAGCAAACTTCTAGTAGTTCAGTCTTGAGTCCCAAGCTGAATATTTCTGAGACATCTTCTAGACAACGTTCTATTTATAATACAAGTGTTGCTTATGGTTATTCTGTTCCAGATCCCCATAATTATGAATGTGATGTGAATGTTGTTAAATCAAAGCCTCCCAGAAAGCTCAAACCTGAAAAAGAAACCAAGAAAGGAACTTCTAAGGGAACGTTTTGTATTCCTGACATGAAATATGCCCTTAGAGTTCATTCTAGGAAACATCTTGATCGGCTTTCTAAGGAGGAGATTTTCAAAACCAAACTTAAGAAACAACCGTTCAATCACAAAGCACATGTCTACTCTCCTCCTAAACCTAAAACGGAAAGATGGGTCCCCAAGATAAGACCCGTCAGAGCTGAAACTGAGAGGTGGGTCCCCAAGATGAGACCTACCAAAACTGAAACAGATAGGTGGGTCCCCAAACGAAGACCCATCAAAACTGAAACTGAGAGATGGGTCCCCAAGATAAGACCCATCAAAACTAAAACTGAAAGGTGGGTCCCCAAACGCAGACCCATCCAAACTAAAACTGAAAGATGGGTCCCCAATCAAAGACCCATCAAAACTGAAACTGAAAGATGGGTCCCCAATCAAAGACCCATCAAAACTGAAACTGAAAGGTGGGTTCCCAAAGTTAGACCCACCAGAACTAAAATGGAAAGATGGGTTCACAACATCAGACCCACCAAAATGGAAACTGCTAGGTGGACTCCAAACACCAGACACACTGCAAAAGCAGATCTGGCTATTGGAAAGCCCACCAAAGATAGATCTTTTGTTGAAAGAGCTGTTGACCTTGGATCACTGCTCA